TTTTTCCTCAAGAAACTAGGTGCTATGTTTAATTAACAATTCAGTTTCTTTTATTTTAGATTTTGTTTATGTCATCTTTGATTTTCAGAATTTGTAATTTTATATATAGTTGGAAGTTTTTGATTTGTTGATTTTCTGTTGTTTTTTTTTTAGTGGCATGCTCAATTTGTTACTTTGCTTTTTTTTTGCCAATGAAAGCATTTAGAAATATACATTTTCTCCTAAGAACTGTGTTAGTTGTATCCCATAAGTTTTGGTTTGTTGTCTCATCGTTGTCATTTTAATGACCTTTTCTATTGTTTCTATAATTTTCTTTTTGATCCATCAAATCTTTAGGATTAAGTTATTTAGGTTTCAATTCTTAATTTTTATTCAAAAGACAACTTTGTCAAAGATAATTTTATTGCATTGTGATGAGTAAATGTTAGTATTTCTACTTTTCCATATTTGTTTATGAGTTTTTCATAACTCAATATATGGTCAATTTTTGTAAAAGTACCAAAAGTAGCTAAGAAATAACTCCTATCTCTTCCCCTAATCATCAGAGATCCATTATCTCTAATTTTTCTAAAGTTGTATTCATGTCCTTAACTTCTTAGTTATCTTTTTTGTTAGCTTTATCTAGGTCTAGGTACACTGAAGCCCCTCCTTATTAGAGTTTTTGCTTTATATTTCTCCCTGTATTTTCCTCCTGATGTATCCATTTCCCAGTGCCCAAGTGCTTCTGTCTGTGTTTTTATGTAACATTGGATTGGAAAAAGGTGGTTACTTTTTTTCTCTTTGAACATCTGGATCATTAGTCAATCTATCATCTTTTTTAGAGCTTTGCTGTATTATATGTGGAGGATCTGGGTTCCTCAACACTTTAATCTAACTGGAATTCTATACTCCTCAGTATTTTCTCTGACAATGAATTACCCTTGCTCTAACTTCATTTTCCTTTCTTCCTTCCTAATATCAATATCAAACTATTTTTATCATTCCCACCTAATAGCATTTGTACTATGCTTCTAGTAAAAATATTTCTATATGTAATATGAAAATAGCTTTAGAATTTGGTCTCAAAGTTGGGCTCTACAAGATGAGGTCTAGTGTGATCAATTCATTATTTATTCAACTCTAGATGCCAAAGCCACTACATTTTTTAAATACCAGTAACCCATGAATCAGGAGAAAAGGAATTGTCCTCTTCCCCCCTCCCCCCCAGGTTTCTGGTTCCTTCTTTTATTCCTTCTTCTTTACCATAGTCCATTGCAGTTACACCAAAACACTGTTTCAAAGAACCAAGCAGTCTTCAGTATGCAGACTAGAGTTTAAATACGGAATCTCAAATATGTGACTTTGATACATTAATGGGTCTATAATCTCATAAATATAAGGCAAACAGTTATGAAAACCGTGCATACCCTTTGATCCAGCAAAACCAGTGGTAGGTCTGTATCCCAAAGACATCAAAAAAAGGGGGACGAGGATCATTTTGTTCAAAAATATTTATAGCAGCTCTTTTTGTGGTGGTGAGGAATTGGAAATTGAGAGGATGCCCATCAGTTGGGGAATGGCTGAACAAGCTGTGGTCTATGATTGTGATACAATATTATTGTGCTATAAGAAATGACAAGCAGGATGATTTCAGAAAAAACTGGAAAGATTTACATAGACTGATGCAAAGTGAAGGGACAAGAACCAAGCGAATATTGTACATAGCAACAGCAATATTGCACAGTGAAGAACTGTGAATGACTTAGTTATTCTCAGCAATACAATGATCTAGGACAATCGTAAAGGACTCATGATGAAACATGCTATCTGTCTCCAATGAAAGAATTGTTGGCATCTGACTACAGACTGAAGCATACTTTTTTTCACTTTTTAAAAAATTTAAGTCTTCTTATACAAAATGAATAATAAGGAAATGTTTTGTGTGATAACACATGTATAACCTATATTGGATTGCTTACCAAGGCAGGGCAGGACAGGTGAAGGAGGGAGGGACGAACAGAATTTGGAACTCAAAATTTTTAAAAAATTGTTAAAAAATTGTTTTAACACGTAATTGGGGGAAAATAAAGCTATATGTGTGTATATATATGTATATGTATGTAAGTATGTACATGTATATGTATGGTAGCATACCATAGTGCAAAAAGTTCCTAACTTGAAGTCAGTAACACCTGGGTTCAAATTCTAGCTTGGATAGTTATCAACTATTTGATCATGAACAGGTCAATTAACCTGATCCTGGTACATCAACTGTAAGATGGGGATGATAAATTCCTGTGGTACTTGTCTCAAAGGATTGCTGTGAGATGCAAATGCGATGGTATATATGAAACATTTTGCAAACTTTAAAAGCCTATATAAGTGAACGTTGTTGTTACTCTTATTTTGTGTAATTCTTGCCTGTAAGTTTTCCAGAATACCTACCCAGTGTGCTAGAGCCCTTCCTCTAAATCAGTGGTTCTTAGCCTTGGGGTCCATGAACTTCTTTAAGAAAATTGATAAATGATTTTAAAAATAATAGGTTTCCTTTGTAAGTATATGTATTTTATTTTATGTATTTAAAAACAGTATTCTAGGAAAAGGCTCCATAGGCTTTGCCAGACTAACAAAGGATTCATGATACAAAAAAGTTAAGAGCCAGTCTGTTTTAAATCTTTTTTTTTTTTTTTACATTTTGTGGCCCTTAGTGCAGTATTGGAGACTCTCCATTTCTTGATCTCTTCATTAATCACCCACTTGTTTTTCTGACATTTTTTGAACGACACTTACTGAAGACAAGTTAACACTGGTAACAAACATGCTGTATCAACTAAGGTCTGCCATTTCCTTTGTATTACCTACAATTTTGACCTTCCACAGATTTGGGTCCAAGATTCATAACCATACAGCAGCATCAGAAGAATATTAATGTTAAAAAGCATGGTTTATGTGCCAAAGAGCAGTCTGGGGTTGTTGGAATTACTGTACAATTTTCTAAATAAGATAATTGATATTTCTTTAAAAAAAAGTTTTTCTCAAGTAACAAAAATTTAAATTCTCTCCCTCGTACTTCTTCCTTCTTGAAAAAAGTAAAAGAAAAACCCCTGTTAGTCAAGCAAAACAAATTCCCACAACAGCTATGTCCAAAAAAATGTGTCTCATTCTGCATCTTGCGAACAACACATCTCGGGATTTAGGTAGCATGTTTCATGACACGTTTTCTGGAATCACGTTTGTTAATCAGAAATCTTAAGCCTTTCTTAGATTCTTACAACATTCCATTTTTGAGTCCAACTTGTTGCCCATCTCTTCTTCCTGTCCAAGATAAATGAAGGAATGATAAATTATTTCAATGAACTGTGTATCTAGCTATATGTCTTTCTGGGAAATGTATATTTTTATCCATTTCAAAGATGGATCTGGTGCTAATTCAGTCTCTTTTGATTGGTTATGGGGCTCAATGACAAAATTCTTATGTAAGCAATGTAGTTAGCATTTATAGTGCTTTAAAGTTTGCATGTTATTTTACATGTTATTTCATTTGGTCCTCACAACAATCCTTTGATGTAGGTGCTATTATCATTCCAATTTTACAGAAAACTGAGGCTGAGATATTTTAAGTGGCTTGCTACTAAATATCAGAGGTGGAGTTTGAATTCAGATCTTCCTAAATGCAAGTCTAGCACTCTATCCATTGTATCACCTAGTAGAAACCTCTGGAAGATTTAAACAGATGTTAGGGCTTTTTTTGTTTGTTTTTAATACTACTTTCTTTTTTGTGAGTAAAATTCTAGTTTTTTGTAGTTCTGATAGCAGGCAAATTTTTGTAATCCCCTACATCAAATGAGAAAATATTTGTAAAGTGCTTAGTACAGGCCTGTCACATAGCGCTTAATGAACTTTCTCTCCCTCCATCCCACTTTTCCTCCTCCTACCTCAAACAATCCCCACATATTTCCAACCTGTACTGAAAGTACTATCAGGCAAAACTCAGAGATGTTTTTCAACAGAGACCATGTGTCACAATATTTGAGGTAATAAACTGAAATAATAGAAACAAAAAAAAATTGTATACAGATGTGAAGTAGAGGTATTTTATCATAGACCAAGGAAACTATTCAATCTCATTTTTCAGAATTCTGAGAAAATATGCTGAGCTGTAGTTAGGGGTGAATTTCCAGTATTCTAAGACAGTGGTGTCAACTTCAAATAGAAACAGAGCCGTGAGGATAAATATTGATTTAGAAAACCACAAATTAACATCATTTATGTCATATTGCAATTTAATTTATTTTGTTAAGCATTTCCCAATTACCTTTTGATATGATTTGGCTACACTTAGGAGTTTTACACTGCAGGTGGGAGTTTGACACCTCTCATCTAAGAGGTATTAATATTGCATTTTTCATTAGAATACTTGTATTTGTTCCTGGAGGCAACGAATAGGAAGCCACTTATTTAGTGACAAGAAAAAAATACAAGCTCTGTAGTCTAAGACAGGGCACCAATCCTCCATCCGCAGTTCTGCTGGAGCCAGCTTGAGCAGGACGGATTATTACGTTTTCAGAGTGAGCATGAACACCTAGAAAGTTGGAAATGCTGCAAATCAGGGAATGATTTATTGATTGTCTAGACAAAATGGTGGAGGAAAATGTTAATGACGCAAGTTAAACTTTAAAGTGTGTCCAGTGTAATTTCTTCTGGAGAGGGAGTACGGGGAGGGGGAAAGGCTTTTGCTGTCGGCCTCGATTTGAAAGCAGTAACGGACATGAAGATAGAGCAGGAGTGCCCAATCGCATCCTACTAGAAAGATAAGCAACACGTTCTTCACAAATGAGAAACTATGCCAGTTTCTCCACCAATTTCAGTCGACGCGGCATCATTCTATCTCTTGCGGGCCAATCACCGTATCTCATTCTTCTACACCAGCCAATGAGAGCAAGGATGGGGCGTTTCCAGCACCTCCTCCCGCTCGTCCCATCACCAGCAAGGCCAACCCCCGGCCCCAGATGCGTGGAAGCGTGAAGGGCAGCGCCGCCTTTACTGGAGCGGCTTGGTCCATGCAATTGGCTGCTGCGCTCAGAGCCATCTCCGGCCGTGTGAGAGCTGGGGTCTCCCGGCAGTACTGGCGCACAAGGGGTCCTGGCCGGGCCTTTTGCCTCCCAGGGTAAGCATGGGATAGTCAAAGGCTTAGGATCTGCCCGGCTGCGGAGGGACCAACTCGGGCTCCGGGCTCCCCGGTCTTCTTTTCCCCGCGGGAGACTGTGCCTTGGTGGGTTGTCGAAGGACCCTCTGGAGGAGAGGGCAGCATTGGCCAAAATCATCCGGGACTCAGAGGGTCCAGAATTGAAATTTTGGGAAAGTGGGGAAAGCAGCGGCATCGGTGGCTCACCTCGTCCCCGAGGTGTGTCTGCACAGCGTCTGTGCCAACATACGTAGCGGTTCTGTGGACGGGTTCGTTGGGCTCCCGGGCGGTGGGGAGCTAGCTGAAATCCCCAGGGGTGTCGCTTGACTTCTGTAGCTGGGCATTTGGGGCGGCCCTCAAAGGGCACTATGGCTGGCATCCCTAGGAAGGATCATGTTGGACTATCGTTACTAAACTGAACCACAAAACATCGCTGAAAAAGCGCAGACTCCAAGCTGTTGCTCAGACAGTCCACCCTGGCTTCAACCTATTAGTACAGTTTGTGGTCAGGATTCTAGCAGAATTTTAAAGGAATTGCCTACATAGGTATGGCTTGGACTAAAAGCCCACGGAGTAGTTTACAGGCTTGAATTTTAACCTTCTTTTTTAGTTCATATTTTGTCAGCCTTACTTTTTAACTTTGATGATTGATTTTAAAAGGTAAAGACAATGCAGCCCCTTTTCCTTCGCTGCTCAGGAGCCCAGCTCGTTGTCCACAACATCTACGGAAAATATATGTAGGCTTGTCTCTGTGGACTGTTTACATATCATAGTCTGGACTATAGGCATTTCCATTCACTTGTTTTATTTTTTCTCCCGCGTGAATAACTTGTCTGAATTCTTGAACCATTATCGGTCTCAAAGGAGATAATATCTGTGAAGTGCTGTCACAGTGTCTGACACGTGGTAGGTTATTAATAAATACTTGGCTCCCTTGCTCTCCTCATCTAAGAGGCTCCGTAGTGTTCCAGGACATAATGCAATTAATACAATATTATCTGCAAACGGCAATATCTGGAGGATCTCTCAACTTTTAGGGAACCCTTCTTTGATTAGGATTCCTCTATTTCCTCCATGACAGAGCCAAACAGTTTTAACTACCATAGTCTCCATGTTTTATATGCCTCGATTGCTATCAATTAGAAGACCTTGAAAGAAATACTTGGAAATTAAGTTGCAGTCTGAATGCTTAATGAGTTTCTTTCATTATAGGAAAAGTTTTAAGACTTCCTCTAAACATTGGCTTTACTTGATTCACTGTTGGAGAGCGGTATCAAGAAATAGCATTTGAAGTCACTAAACCTCTTAGAGTCTCAGCTTTCTCTTCTGCAAGAAGATAACTAATACATGGTACAGATTATCACACAGTTATTTTGAGGACCAAGTGAGATAATGCATGTAAAAAGCATTTTGTAAACCTTAAAACCTTTACAAATGTGGGCAGTTTCTATATTGCTGTTGTTATTACCAATTCACCAGTTGTAATTGGCAATGTGCAATATAACTGCAGAACTTGTTTCCTAAAGTGTGCTGGCTGATGTGACTAGAAGGTTCACAGAAAATAAGAAAATGAATGTAATAAAAAATAATTTTTAAATGCTTACTCTTATTGTTGATTATAGAAGTTCCTATTTTAAAAGTAATAGCTTTTAAAATGTTTTTGTTTTGAACCTATATTTTGCCCTTGTTTAAAAAAATCAGTTGCTCTTGATGCCATTATACCTCTAGATAGAAATAAAAATACTTGTAATCTCAAAAAAGAGTGCTTGGGTATATTGATGCCTCCAAAAATGCATTTTTTCTAGTAGAAAATAACACTGGTATAAGCAGACTGGTACAAGGACTTCTGCAGCACCTCCCAGCAGAGGTTCTAGCTTGTGGCCACACCACAGTCTTGGTGCCCCAAGAAAGTTTACCTCCTGGTATTTCAGTTTCCTTTGATGTGAAATGGGAAATATCTGCCCCCCCCATTAGAGGTTGAATGGGATAAGAACATGTTATACAAATTGCAAAGCAATCATACAGATGTACAAATAGTCAAATTATCTATCTCAAATTCTTAAGTTTTTAGAGTAGAATGTGCTGATGAATTTTTTTTTAAATTTAAGAAAAGGTAAAGAAGGTCAAAACTTCTGAAACAGATATTATATACAAAAGGATTCTTTAAAAAAAAAGATTCATAAAGATCTTTTAAATAATGAATGAAACCTCCTTCCTCACCTTCTTCCCCACCTCCCACTTTCCGTTTTCCCAGTCTTTTTGCGCCCCCCCCCCCCCCCCCCCCCCCCCCCCCCCCCCGTCTTTCCTTCCTCTTCCCCCTCTTTAGTTCTTCAGACCTGTTTTCAGAGAGGTCAGTATGGGAAACTTCTGATATAGGAATTCTCACTATGGAAGCAGTTTAGCAACTTAGCTGTAACATATCCTGAGACATTTAACTATTAGCAATTGAAAATCAACCAGGTATTAAGTGTATGCAATGGGGATTTAATTTAAAGAAAGGCTGTTTACAAAGCACTAGACAGGAAAATGACTGATGTGACCAGAAATAGTTATGTTAATGAAGGAACAACAAAAGAATCGTCTTGGGCAATCCACTTAACCTACTTGGCTCTTAGTTATATTGTTCTCTTAAATGAGGGAGTGGACTCAATGAACTGGATTCCTGCTCTAGATCTCTGGTGCTTTAGGATGAACATAATGTATACTGTTGAAAAGTATGTGAGAACAATAACATAAATAATAATGTTAATAACTTTACATATATAGAGTTGGAGAGCTCTTAGAAAGTTGCTTTCATATATATTACCTCTTTTGATCCTTACATTAATCCTTACATTAGAGTCTGGATATTTTTCCTGGGAATTTCGTGTATATACAATTTATATGTATGTTGTGTGTTACATGTGTACATGTGTGCATGTGTACACATGTAAGACCAAGTAAAATTTTTGTCCGTCAGCCCTGAGATGGCTTTATTTAAAGGAATCAATAAATAAGCAACAAGAAAGACATTTTACTTTTAGGGAGTGTTTGGTGTGTTTCATTATAGTAAAAAAAATTTTTTTCAGCATTTCAGGATCCAGGTATATTCTTTGTTTTAGTTTTTCTTTTCACAGAGGTGTTTATTGTGAATTCATCAAATTCGTGAGACCTTATTTCTTTTTTTCACCATATTTTGTTTCTTCTTTGCCTTGAAATTCCAGCTGATTGTCTTTTTAGATAACTCATTATTTATTTGGTTTGGGCAAGATTGCCTGCTTGTGATCACTTGAGCTTTTGATTTTATTGCTTGGCTTGTAGAAAAAGAAATTTTAGAAATTGTCTCCTAAGCGTAAGGATCAAACTTCATATTTATCAGTACTTTGAAGTAGGAAGAAGGCCCTAAAATTACCAGTAAATTGTAGTTTATGTTGAAAAATTTGCAAATTTTATGAAACATTTCATCTCTAGATCTAATTCTTGTATATGTGTTTATGTATTATTTATCTTGTTTTCTTTTCTTAACTTTAGAAAGAATGGGATTGACTGATAAGACCTTCTGGTCTCTTCCAGCTCTCAGGCTTTGATTCAAAAATTAACTTTTAAATAACCTTAAGTATAACTTTTTTCTGCTTGAGTACTCAAATGGAACTGTACTTTCACCTATGCAGATATTCCCTCCATTTGGGGATTGCAGAATCAACCAAATACTTAGGTGTATCAGATACTGTGCTGGGGGATACAGAGAAAAGACAAAAACCACCATGTCTTCCTGAAGCTTACATTCTAGTAAGGTCAACAATATATATGTAAACAGGTATATGCAAGATACATGGACGTAACTTGAAGGGGGAAGGCTTTCATAGCTAAAAGAACTGAGAATGGCTTCCTGTAGAAAATGACATTTGAGATAAGTTTTTGAGGAAACCAAAGGTTCTGAAAGGTGGAGGTGAAGAGAGAATATTGCAAGCATGTGGAGGACAACTCCATATACAAGGTACACGGGGTATGGAAAGTTTTGTAGTTAAGTACAGCTTAATTGTAGAGTTTATGGTAGGCAGTAATGTATAAGATGAATGAGAAGATGGGAAAGGGACTAAATTGGAAGAGCTTTCTATGATAGAGTGGTTAGTACCCATTACTAGAGGCAATAAAACTGCATCCTGGGCCATCTCCAGTTGTCCTGATCTCTGTTTGGCCACTGGGCCCAGATGACTCTGGAGGAGAAGTGAGGCTGGTGACTTTGCACAGTCCTCCCTCACTTAAGTCCAATTCACTTGCATGTCATGGCATCACCTCCCTGATGTCATGGTCCTCTTCAAGAATGAGGAACAAATAACAATGGAGCTAATGCAATTTGAAGGGGAAATGACATGATCAAGCCCTTTAAGGGATCAGCTGCATGGAGGTTGGATTGGAGTGAAAGTCTTGAAGAAGAAAGATGAATTGAAGGGCTGTTGTAATAGTACAAGGGAGAGGTGGTGAAGACCTGAACTAAGGTGGGCTGTGTAGAGAGAAAGATATATGTCTGAGAGAGATTGTGGAGAAAAAAAGACAAGATTTAGAAACTGATATGAATTATGAATGAGCAGTCAAGGATGGCATGAGCGACACTTGGGTGACCAGATGGATGGTCAACTCCTCAGTGTCTTCTTATCTACATTTTCTCATGTATCTTTTGGGAAGAATGTACAGCTAGAGGCCTCTTCTGGTTCTTTTTAATGTCATGGGAACCATTGTAACATTTAGGGCAGCTGGGTGGTACAGTGGATAGAGCACCATACCTGGAGTCAGGAAGACTTGCGTTCACATGTGGCTCTAGACACTTACAAGCTGTATGACCTTGGACAAGTCACTTAACCCTCAGTTTCTTCATCTGTGAAATGATCTGGAAAAGGAAATGGCAAACCACTCCAGTAACTTTGCCAAGAAAACCCCAAGTGGGGTCACAAGGAGTCCAACATGACTGAAGCAACTGAACAATGACAAAATTGTAACATTTG